GAGGATGAAGATGCTGATAAAGACAAGGACAAGAAGAAGAAGAAGACTGTGAAGGTTAAGTACACCGAAGATGAGGAGTTGAATAAAACAAAGCCTATTTGGACCCGCAATCCTGATGACATCTCACAGGAGGAATATGGCGAATTCTACAAATCTCTGACTAATGACTGGGAAGATTATTTAGCCGTAAAGCACTTCTCTGTGGAAGGCCAACTGGAATTCCGTGCTTTGCTCTTCATCCCACGCCGCACACCCTTCGACTTGTTCGAGAACCAGAAGAAACGCAACAACATTAAATTGTACGTGCGATGTGTCTTCATTATGAATAACTGTGAAGAGCTCATTCCCGAGTACTTGAACTTCATTAAGGGTGTTGTTGACTCTGAGGATTTGCCACTGAATATTTCCCGTGAAATGTTGCCACAGAACAAAGTATTGAAAGTAATTTGCAAGAACTTGGTGAAGAAGACCATGGAATTGATTGATGAACTTACTGAAGACAAGGAATTGTATAAGAAGTTCTACGACCAGTTCGCCAAGAACCTGAAATTGGGTGTACATGAAGATAGCAACAACCGTGCCAAGCTTGCTGACTTCCTACGTTACCACACATCCGCTTCTGGTGATGATGCCGCCTCTTTGGCAGATTACGTATCACGTATGAATGTGAACGAGAAGCACATCTACTTCATCACTGGCGAGTCAAAGGAACAAGTCAGCAACTCTGCCTTTGTTGAACGTGTTAAGGCACGTGGTTTCGAGGTCATTTACATGACTGAACCCATTGATGAGTATGTCATCCAACACTTGAAGGAGTACAAGGGCAAGCAATTGACCTCCGTTACCAAGGAGGGCTTCGAGCTATCTAAAGACGAAGCCGAGAAGAAGAATTGTGAGGAAGACAAAGCAAAGTTCGAAAGCCTTTGCAAGCTGATGAAGTCAATTTTGGATAACAAAGTTGAAAAGGTGGTCGTATCTAGCCGATTGGTTGAATCGCCATGTTGTATTGTGACATCGCAGCTCGGTTGGTCTGCAAACATGGAACGTATCACGAAGGCCCAAGCTTTGCGTGACACCTCTACCATGGGCTACATGGCCGGCAAGAAGCATTTGGAAATCAATCCCGAACATCCGATCGTTGAGATTCTGCGTCAAAAGCGATAAGGCTGTTAAAGACTTGGTCATCCTGCTCTTCGAGACTGCACTGTTGTCATCCGGTTTCTCGTACCTCGCATGATCAAGCTAGGTCTTGGTATCGATGAGGAAGAACCAACGGCGACTGAAGATACACAGAGCGCTGGTGATGCTCCTCCATTGGTTGATGACACCGAAGACGCTTCTCATATGGAAGAAGTCGATTAAACTAAGCCTTGACTTTAATTTAGCGTTCCAAAATCTGAGGGCGGATTGCTACACTCATACATCATAAGTTCATTTAGTCTACACAATTTTGAATTCGTTACGCGAGCATCCGTAAAATCGTCGAATATTTTTCGACTGCTTTTTATGTTCAACTTTTATGCTTGGAAATAAGATTTAATTTTTGTCGCGTTTTAAGCGGCTCTTGTATATCCCAAGGATTCAAAAATGAGGGTATTCATTTTAAATCAATGTATGCGTGTGAGAATCTACATAAAAGTAAATGTTTAAATGAACTTAATATTGTATGTTATGAGATACCATAGTTCTGCTAAGAAATTAGAAAAAATAAAATATAAAATAAATATAAATTAAATGTTTATCAAACCATATGTCTTCATACCAAATTTCAAGTTCGTGTTACTTATGGTTCCGAAGTTATAGCTGAAAAAATTCCACGCCTATGGGATGTGCTACACCTCCTTTTAAAAACTCGTTTACATATACCCTCGTATAATCACCTACCATTGATATGTCTGCATACCAAATTTCAAGTTCGTGAGACTTATGGTTCCGAAGTTATAGCTGATAAAAAAATCCACGCCTATGGGATGTGCCATGCCTCCTTTTACAAACTCGTTTATACATATCCTTATATAAGCACCTACTATTGATATGTCTTCATACCCAATTTCAAGTTCATGGGACTTGTGGTTCCGAAGTTATAGCTGATAAAAAAAATACGCCTATTGGATGTGCCACGCCCCCTTTTGCAAACTCGTTTATATATACCCTCCTATAAGCACCTACCATTGTTATGTCTGCATACCAAATTTCAAGTTCGTGGGCCTTATGGTTCCGAAGTTATAGCTGATAAAATATTCCACGCCTATGGGATGTGCCACGCCCCCTTTTACAAACTCGTTTATATATACCTCCCCTATAAGCACCTGTCATTGATATGTCTGCATACCAAATTTCAAGTTCGTGGGACTTATGGTCAGGAAGTTATGGCTGATTAAAAATTTCACGCCTATGGGAGGTGCCACGTCGCCTTGTCGGATCCCAATTTTTTTCACCTTATTATAGACCCAGGTGTCATGGCAATACTCTGTCAAAATTTTGTTCTATTATTTCCGTCTGTTTAGACTACAACCTGGCACATACATACATACCAGGGTTGTTGCGAATATTCGCATTCGCATTCGCAACCGCGGAGCTTCCGCATAAATTTTAACATTCGCATTCGCATTCGCAATAACCAATGCGGAGCTTTTGCGAATGCGAATGTTGTGCAAGAGCACCTATAAAGTGTATATCTGGCAAACAAAATGACAAATTGTAGCCAATATTTGATAAAAATGTCTTTAATTATATTATGGGTATCCATGGAAATGCGTAAATGCCTCGAACCGCGTAAACCTCGCAAATAATTCGATTTTTCATACAAAATTAAGTAAGTTTACGAGGTTTACATGGTTACGAGGCATTTTCGCGATTTGATGAGTTGCCTTATTATTTCTTAAGCTATATAACCGAGCTATCAATGGGCAGTCATACAAGTTTCTTTTTCTACTTGACCTTTGACGTACGTAAAAGTTTGACGTACGTCAAAGAGAACATAGTCATTTTAAATAAAGTGTACAAATGTGTAAAATTTGCGTTCATATCCTATTTAGCTCGCTATAAGCACACATTTTTCAAACCAGTCACAGAAGAAAGTATTAAAAAGAATTACTAAAACTACAATCAAAAAATGCTGATGACGTTACAGGTTCCCAAAATTCTGAAACAGCCAAAGGAATGGGAATGAAGATTTCTTTTGAAAAAGCTTTAGAAAAACCTGACACATCTGGTTTGGCTTGTAAGTGCTGTTTAAACAACGATTTCGCTATTATGCTAGATTCTAATTGTTTCTTGAAAATACTTGACATCCGCATTCGCTTCCGCATCCGCGGATGTTAGCTGTTAAACATCCGCATCCGCATTCGCATCCGCGGATGTCTAAAATTCCACATTCGCAACATCCCTAAGACATACATACATACTTCCACAAATATATAGTAGATATCTATCCTTCTCTTAGCGATAAATAATTTTTGGGTATATCTCGGCCACAGGGCCACCTATCGTGTAAGTTTTAAGTCCAAATATTTCTTTTCAATTGGCTAAATTGTATTCTAAATCCAAATCGGCAAGTAAATGCAATTTTTAGGAATATCCTGACCCCAGCGAGCAAATTTTTAGTAGAAATATTTCTTTTCATGGTACTGATATATGTTCCAAATATGTCGGTCCAGCCGTTTAGAAGTTTAGTGACATTCAATGTACAGAAAACTCTATGAAATTGTGAAATCGTGACGTCTCAGCATTCTTCATTTTTCGGCAACCACAAAAAAATTCAAATTTTTTTAAATCGAAAAACCTTTCACACAGAAGGTCGAAAAAACACTTTTTACAGAATTGAAGTCGGTTCAGCCGTTTGGTCAGGCATCGCGGTCATACGAAAAATATTTAATTTTTATATATGTAGATATAATATATCTCAACATAAGTTTTGGAAAGCAAATTACAAAAAATTTTTGATTCTCACAAAATAAACCATTTCGTCATAAAGAAAAATATTTTAAAAATAGTTCTTGAAAAACCCCCATTTTTTTTAACCACGTTTTTTATAGAGAACTAGCAGAGCACCCGACGTCGTTCGGGGTAAACAAATAAAAATATAAAACAGTAATACAGATATTCAGTTCAGCATAATTTAAAGGAGACAAACTATTTTCTTTGTTTACATTAAGGCATCCTTATGAGCCATACTTTTAGCTTTGTCGTGCTTTATCTTATATATATTGATCACCGCTTGTACTACAAATCTTGTTCCATTATTAATATTAGGTGGATTAAGGTAACGATCAAATTTCTAAATTAAAATTAGTCTACTACGGTACACTTTTCTGGTAGAATGCTTAATTAGGAAGAAGTTTTATTCATTATGAATGCACCATTTTCATTTAACACCATCGCGGGATTAAAAACGATTTAATCTTTCCATTTCAAAGTAATCTAAAGACGGTAAGGTTTAAAAAAAAAAACACACACAGTTTTAAATATCCGAGTTATCTAATAGATGATTAATATATATACTTTACTCTGAACACCTCCCATTGATACCTATGAACGAATACCAAATTTCAAGTTCATGTGACTTATGGTTCCCAATTTATGGCTGATTAAAAATTTCCCCCTACGGGATGTGCCACGCCCCTTATATATAAGCACCTACGATAGATATGTCTGCATACCAAATTTAAAGTTCGTGGGACTTATGGTTCCGAAGTTATGGCTGATAGAAAATTCCACGCTAATGGGATGTGCGACTCCCCCTTTCACAAACTCATTTATATATACTCATATAAGCATCTACCATTGATATGTTTGTATATTAAATTTCAAGTTCGAGGGGCTTATGGTTCCGAAGTTATAGATGATAAAAAAATGCGTGTGTAACACCGTACACATGATAGAAATGAAACTTCTTAAAAAAGGTATGAGTACCGGGTTGTAATGGAAGTAATTGTATGTTTAACAAATAAATGAAAATGTTTATAATGCAATCAATAGATCCTTACGAATTCGCCATTACCAAGGCACTAAGTAACGTACGCACTTTTGTTTGCAAAATGCATTTATTTAAGTTCAAAGAAGACAAATTCCTTTGTTCGGCATTTATTCTTACTCGCTTTCTATCTTCCAAGCCGAATTCATATATTCTTATCACGAATTCATATATTCATGTGGTAGCAAAGGTATAAAAACATAAAATTACCTTGTAAATTAAAAGCATAAGTATCACATGTATACGTAGTGCAATTCACGAAATCATTTCATCGATCTGAGTAAAAACTAAGTGCATAAACTCTATTTCGCGTTAATTGTAATCATGAAATGGTATTCATTCATTCAGTTTCTACTCAAACGCATGAAATAATTTCATGAATTGGCCTACGCATAATGGTAGTAAATGACAGAATGAATCACAACAAACACATCCTTTTGACATAATGCAAGCCGAAAACGTTAGTTCAAATCAATCTGCAATCATGTTGGACGTTTTGTCCACAAACTTTGCAATTTCGCAAGCAGTCTCATTGTAAAATCTCATTTTTATAATTTCATAGTTTCGGCTTACATTTATAAAATTCAACGAAAGCACGTACCTATTTCAGCTAGTTATCCATTTTCGGCTATTTAGAGTTCAAAATAAACGCAAATTAAATGATATTGTACAACATGGCCAATAATGTAGCGATAGGTTGTATAACTAGCCAGACAATCCAAATTTTTTGATCTTTCATACAACCAAGACATAAATGCATTCAACAGGCCCACAAACGGTGCAATCTAGAGCAAAACAACACCAAGTTGAACCAACGGTCGCTACGTTTATGGCTTTCTTTAAGAAACATCGGGCGAAAATTTAAACTGCTCCTGTAACACTACCTTATATAGGTTGGCGTTAATACAAGGAGATAACGAGAGCACAAAACTACTCTAGAAAATTACACGTACAATGACAAACATGAACAAATGTACAACAAACACATAATTTTTGACAATCAGTACAGTTCGCATTTATATCAACGAGCAGCTTATTAGATTTGTTTTCGTTTTTACTATGTATGTGCATATATATGTACATTAGACTGCATCACTCCCCATACAAAAAAAAAATCGGTACTATTTTTCCATTGGAATTATAAAATCTATTATATTTTAAGACGTCCACCAAAATATTTCGAAAAAATATTAAGATTTAAGTGAGCTGGACCAATTTCAAAATACCTCCAAAAATAGAGTTTTTTATGAATAAAAATAGCTTCTTAAATTTTTTTTTTTTAAAATCCCCTCAAATGACAAAACGGTTTACGCTTAAAAAATTTGCATAAAAATATTTAAAAAATATTAAAAAAAAATTTGAACGGAATCGTAATGATGAGATTTTTGATGCTGTTTTTTAACATTTTTCAAAGATTGGTTTAAGAAAAACTTGAATAACTGAGCCTAA